ATAGTGTCTCATACTGTATTGTATCATAGTATCTCATATTTTATTGTATTATAGTGTCTCATATTGTTTTGTATCATAGTGATGTAATAACGTACTGTATTGTATGTTATTACATCATAATGTATCATTTTGTATTGCATTATATTATGATTTGTCATTTTGTACTGTTCCATAATGTATAATATATAATATATAATGTCATAATTCATCATGAAGTATCACACTGTACCATGATGTATCTTATTGTAACATATTGTATCATCATTCATTATAATGTATCCTGATGCATTATATTGCATCATAATTCATCATAACATGCACTTAATGGTTCTTCAAGGGTTCTTTAGTAAAGAAAATGGTTCCATATAAAGCCATTAATGCTCAAAGAACCCATTGCATGATTAAAGCGTTCTTCGCATAGTAAAAGTGTTCTTCAGATTGATGGAGAATGTGTTGTATATTAAAAAGGGTTCTATATAGCACCAAAAATGGTTCTTCTACTGTTACAATATTGACACTGTAACACTAGAAGAACCATTCATGGCGCAATATAGAACCCTTTTCAAAAAGGTTCTGTGTAGAACCATATACAACACATTCTCCATCAATCTGAAGAACACTTTCACGATGCAAAGAACCCTTTAATCATGCAAATCATGGTTCTATCATCATTTTAAAGTGTGTTTATGATACTGCATTGCATCTTATTGTTACATAATGCATCAAATTGCATCAGAATTCATCATAATGTATCATACTGTATCATATTGTCTCTTATTGTAAGATAATGTACCATACTGTTTCGTACTGTGTTGTTGTGGTATGACTGGGGGGTTAGCTCCCAGCTAATGTTAGCTCATGGCTAGCATATTGATTGGCAACACTTTAAAGAACAGCTGGGAAGAAACCCCACTGAGCCACATCTAAAGACTCTAATATAGTACTATAATAACATTGAATGCTCTAATAAGCTGAAAGCAGAAAGACAACATATCCACATTAACATATTAACATAAGGCACGTTTTTTTCAAGCACACCTTATTTTTACTATACTGAAAAGTGCACTAAATCAAGACGCTATCAGATCATTAGGTGCTACTAAAACATCTGGTGCGAAAGCTGCACTGAACTGTGTGAAGTAATCAAAGATGAAAAAGAAATTGGAACCAAGTATCGCAGGCAGGTAGCAACGGCAGCACAGCTGCTCACAGTGCTTTCCTCCTGGTGTTTAACCCCGACACCCTGCTAAACACAGCGCCCCCAGGGTCAGAGAAAACTCAATCACTCCGAGTCCAAAAACGTAAAACACCCTGGCTCGCATAATCCCCTGGTGGTGTGTTTCCACTTTAGCAGTAATTGTATTTTCCCTCCACATATCTAATAGAACAACACCAACGCTCGCTGCTCTTTAATTCCTTCCATGTGTTCAGCGCTCCGACAGCAGAGGAGGCCGAAACAAAGAGGGAAGGGCTCTGGAACGAGTTCCGCTCACTGGCTCTGCATCTACAGTCTTAAAATCTTAAAACTCTGGAGTGACATCATAGAAGAACCACTTCTGGCTCTGACATACAACAGTACAGTACTGTGATTAGAATGGATGACTTGTGGTATAAGAGGTTCTAAAACCTATTGAAGGTTCTTTCTAGCACTGTACATCAAAGCTAGAACCATTCATCATTAAGAGTGTAGCCTGGCTAAATGAGTTAGCCAGTAGCAAAACTCAGAAGATGATCAATAACCTGTTTGATCGTTTTATAATCAGTTGTTCATATCAGCAAAAGTAAAAACATCAGCATTTAATTAATGTAATTTCATACAATAGCATTAGAGCAGAGATAGATTGTATGCATTATTATAGAATACACAATCTATACATATAGAAATATAGATTAAAACATTATATACATATATATATATATATATATATAGTGTGTATGTATGTATGTGTATATATATATATATATATATATAGTATATATACACATATATATAGTTACTGTTATATATATATATATACACATACATACATACATACACCTATATATATATATATATATATATATATATATATATATATATATATATATATATACATATATATATAGTTACTGTTACAGTTAGTGTTGTACTGTTATAATAAACCCACAGATGAGGTAGTTTACAGTTACAGTACTGTTTCCACAGTAATAAATGCAGCCCTGCTGTAAATACAGTGTTGTATAAGAGATCATGAGCAGAGAGAATAGACAGTGATGAAGTGCAGTGCAGATGATACAGAGATGTAGAATGATGAATGAGGAGCAGATGAATCAGAGTGCAGAGCTGATGGCTGCAGCAGTGAGCTCTGCTACCTGAAGTGTCAAGCCGTGTTCGCTGCATCAGACTTTTCTTGATCAATGACGCCATCTAGTGGAGAGAGCAGGAGTTGGGGAGTTCTGAAATGTAAAATAAAAAGATCTGCTGCTTATTTAATTGCTGAGCCACCAGGGTCTAGTTAAATCTTGTATTCTGAAGAACCAATGCACCATTAAGCACTTGTAAATTTACCATTTTGGAGATATATGGGTCTAACCAGTGACTCTAACCAGTAACCAGAATGGGTCGCTCTCAGGAGCTCAGTGAACTCCAGCGTGGTACCGTGATCGGATGCCACCTGTGCAACAAGTCCAGTCGTGAAATTTCCTCACTACTAAATATTCCACAGTCAACTGTCAGTGGTGTTATGTGGAAGCGATTGGGAACGACAGCAACTCAGCCACGAAGTGGTCGGCCATGTAAAATGACAGAGCGGAGTCAGCGGATGCTGAGGCGCATAGTGTGCAGAGGTCGCCAACTTTCTGCGGAGTCCATCGCTACAGACCTCCGAACTTCATGGCCTTCAGATCAGCTCAAGAACAGCGTAGAGAGCTTCATGGAATGGGTTTCCATGGCCGAGCAGCTGCATCCCAAGCCTTACATCACCAAGCGCAATGCAAAGCGTCGAATGCAGTGGTGTAAAGCACCGCCACTGGACTCTCTAGAGCAGTGGAGACGTGTTCTCTGGAGTGAACAATCACGCTTCTCTGTCTGGCACTCCGATGGAAAAACACCTTGAAGACTCCAGAGTTTCTTCTGAAATGAAGGTGTTAATAGTGAGTCTGTGCTGCAGTAACAGCCTCTACTCTTCTGGGACGGCTCTAGATGTTCAACATTGCTGTGAGGATTTGATTGAGCATTAGTGAGGTCAGGTACTGATGTTGGATGGTCAGTTCTGGATCATTCCAACTCATTGGATGGAGCTCCATCACTCCAGAGAATACAGTTCCACTGCTACACAGCCCAGTGCTGGGGGGTTTATAGCCCTCTAGACTATGCTTGACACTGGACATGGTGACCTTAGCCTCATGTGCAGCTGCTCCAGAGTGTCCCATTCTATACAAGCTGTGTCAGCAATAGGTGACCTTAAAGTAGCTGAGTTCACTGATGGGTCTGATAAGTGTTTCTGTTAGCTGAAGTGGAACCAGAAGCTGGTTTGGTTATTTAAGCGGTGGAGGTGGTTAATAGGAACAGTGGCTCTGGCTGGAACTGAGTCTCCCTCTAAAAGCTGTGCAGGTGAAACTGCAGGGAAAATCCCGCTAAGAGGCTCTGTGAGTGAACCTGCTGCTGTTTTGCGTCAGCGCTGTGTCACTGAGTTTACCCAAGACTCTGAGGGGGAACCTGACTGCACACAGATAACACACAGCAAACGACAGCATCGACTCGACCCCACAGCTCACACACGTGTTCATGATCCATTGACGTCAGCTCTTAGTGCTAACATTCCCCCCCATGCCCCCCCCCCTCACTGTATACAAACAGCAGAATGAGTTCTGTTATCAAGCACTGATAAATAACCTGTACGTATTTATTTTCATCCACAGTCTAAGGCAAAGGAAAAATTAGAATAATGGCGATGTATGGCACTATAAGGTACTGGTAAAACCAACCTGTAAATACGTAAGTAGGCAGAAATGAAAATAAATAAGGATAATATGATTAATTTTAATTGTTAATGGTCCAGTCACTCTATTGTTACTCGATTATTATTATAACCCATGGGTTTAAAATTTTTAAGAACATCAGAGAGGAGTTATGTTGAAAACGTTTGTAGTTTCCAGGATAACTATTAAATTAATGAAATGGTAATTTTATCATTTTTCTATATTTCTGCAGAATTCAGTGTGTGAGGTGTAAACAGAGAGATTCAGAGAGGTTTGGTGTGAAATGGTCCAGATGTCTTTACAGTGGTGGTGATAGGAACCAGGCGTCGCCATGACTACAACACAGATATAGACATTTTATTTACTATCCAGAACCACCAGTGAACCTACACGAGTCTTCTGAGTTTATATGGAATGTTGATGATGGAAAATAGTGGAAAATCTGAAATAATAAGTTTTCTTTGGGGACTATTTTGCCTCACAGTGCCCTGCATGTATCCCTCCACCATGAATGGAGTTTAAGTTCTCAGAACTATCATAAAACAGTGTCTCAGTCATCAGGCAGTGAATTCATAACCATTTCATGTAGTAACTTTCTGTGAGGGAGCTTTTAGAGGGGGACGTCTGGTTCCTATCACCACCACTGTGAACAATTCTGACTTGGCAAGTTTATCTAGAACAGAGCGTTTCACACCAAACCACTCTGAACCACTGAATGAATTTTTTTGATCATATGCCTTTTTATAAATAAGTGCAATTCTACTTTAAATTAGGACATCAGTCTAAATCAAATGTGAACGTGAGAGTTCAGAGTCTGCAGCTGCCTTTCTCAGTCAGTGCACAGTGAGCACACAAACCCGTGTGCAATAAATAAGACAAATTTATAGGTGTTTTAAATGCTGCCCACCAGAGCAGACGAGCATCACACCAACACACACAGCATCAGTGAAAGCTCTGAGCTCATGGTCACCAGCTTCAGCATCTCTACGGCCAGCAATGACACTGCTGACCATTTCTATTTTGACCATTTTTGCCTTAAGATTTTTCCACAATGCTGCTTCAGGAGAGCTGGACGCACACATGTTTCCCGACAGAGGTGAGTCAAAGCTGTACTAAGTATATTTGTAATGAGTTTCTGGTCAAATTACATATTTTGTTGATTTTCTACACTGTAAAAAGTGGCTCATCAGATCTACCTACACATGACTTCCTGTGGTGACAAGCAATTGAACTAGTTTTATTCAGTTCAAAAAATTACATTGATTCAAAGAATCATTCATTCAAAGTATCTATTTAGGTTGAATAAAGCTAGTTAATTTACTTGTTACCACATGAAGTCATTTTTAGGTAGATCTGAGCCACTTTTTACAGTGATAGGTGAACATAAGTGAACACATTCTTTACAAACAACCTCTGCTAATTTGAATGTACAATTTGTGTTTATATATTATTATTAAAAAAATGCTTCATGTGGTAACAAGTAACTTAGCTTTATTCAACCTGCATATACTACTTATACAAACTTCCTACACAGCTTCTTGTTCACTTGGTTTCATATTCAAATTCATCTTAATTGGTGCAGCTGGTACATTCTGGCACATTATAATTCATAAAGCTCCTGTGCTGATATGCTGGATGGACTAAGAGGTTCCCCTGCAGCTCTGTGAGGTTATTTATTTAGTGCCTTTCTCTAGTTCTACTCGAGTCTGGTTTGTGTTTTCAGAAGCATCTAAGAAGCTCAGCTGGAATGAGCTTCTCCGTCTGAAGGAGCTGCAGTGCAGTAAGGTGCCTCAGTTCATGAAGGAGCTGTACGCAGCCATGGTGGACTCAGGTGGAACCATACAGAAGCAAAACAAGCTGGATGGAAACGTGGTAAGGAGTTATGCAGGTACGTAAAAGCAGCAGGAGTGCTGGCCCAACATATAAGCAACTATTGTGCATTTCCTCTTAGTATGTACATATCATATATATTTAAATGTAAATAACCCTAGGAACCAAGCTCGTAAAATGCATAGTTGATTTATGGCCTTCATAACTTCAGAATGGTTTAAACTATAGACATAAACCACAAATCTGAGCATTCAGCAGGCCCAGCCCACACTAGCTAGTGTGATGTCATCAAGCTGTGATGTCAGCATCAGTGAGTAATTCGGCTCGGAAAATTACCAAAAATCCTGATATTATTGCTCTGATTTTAGCCTTCATAATTCAACAAAGGGTTAAAACAGCGACATGATTCACACATCAGACCACTCAGCAGACTCTGCTTCACCTTCCAGAGTGATTTCATCCACCTGTGACCATCTATCAGCCAGAGATCAGCTCCAAAATCACCCAAACCCACTCGCTACTGTTATATTACACCTCTGCTTTTAACCCTTATATTATAAACAAGGGGTTAAAAAAACGACATGGTTCACAAACCAGAACACTCAGAGGAACCTGCCCTCACTAGCCAGAGTGAGAGAAACCAGCTCTAACATCCCACAACACAGAAATACAGCACAAACACACAGCCAGATCACTGTAAAACCTGCTGTTAGCTCTCTACTTTAGCCTTCTTATGGCTACCAAAGGGTTAAATAAATTTGAATTGTGTAAACATTTCATGATGAACAGACTGATTAAAATGGTTCTCATGGTTCTTTCTTTCTGCAGCGCGTTCTAACGGGGCATTTCACTTCTTCAACCTAACATCCTTTAGCCGGGGTGAAAAGGTCATCAAAGCGGAGCTGCGATGGTTTCGGCATGCGCAACCGTTTTGGATGGGGCATCATTTTTATAAAGTAAGCTTTAATACGTTGCAAAAAAAAAAAAAACTGCCATGCCTTTATTATTCCTAACTGAACAGTGTTCAGATTGTGTACATCTGTGTTTTGCTTGCAGTCAGCAAACAGTTTGATTGTAAATGAGCTCTAAATTTACTTTCTTAATTTGGAACAACGCCATTTTATTACACTGTAAGTCAAAATTACGGCAATTTTCCGCACCGCTTATTCCAGTTAGCCTCCTTCTGCAGGCCCCCTATTTCACCTATGTTGAGCTGCTGTCAAGCAATAAGGGTGAAAAGGGAGGGGGGGAGAACCCCCTGCTGTGAAAAACAATTCACACCTCTCCACAAAGCTCAGATAAAAGAGACAACTGCAGCTTTGTTCATATTAATTAATCCTGTACAGCTGACACAATAAACACACTGCATTTAAACACAATAACAGCACTTCTTTAGAGATGAACATCAAGTTCGCTTCTGGTTTTGTTACTCGACACATTTTCATCAAGATATTATTTTCCATCAACATTTTTGAAGAACATGAGATCTCCTCCACAGCCTGTGGAAGTGACATTCTATGACTAGTGTTAAAAAGGGGTCAACTTAAATTGAGGGCAGCGGTGAAGTCCGGTTGCCTTAAGAACGACTTGCCTATTTACAGACAGTACAGTTCAACAGCTTTTCTGATTATTTGGCACTAATGTTTCCGGAACTGCAGGTTGATTTGTACGAGGTGCTGGATGGCAGAGTGAAACCGTGGCGAGGAAACCTGATAACATCAAGGTTGTTGCCTATGAACACTACAGGATGGGAGGTGTTTAACATCACAAACACAGTAAGCTGCTGAGAGACATCATAGCTTATTTTTTCCCAACCAAACCCTTACATTTGTACTAACCTTCAAATTTATGAATCCTATAGCAATCACTCTATAAAAAGATGGTTCTTCAAGGGTTCTTTAGTAAAGACAGTGGTTCTATATAAAAACCATGAACACTCAAAGAACCAGTTGTATGCTTAAATGGTTCTTTGCATGGTGAAATGGTTCTTCCAACCATTCACTGATTCACTGATGGAGAATGTGTTGTATATGGTTCTATATTTTGAAAATAATTCTATTTGCAACCAATAAGAGTTTGTCCATTGTTACAAGCTTGACAGCGTAACAATATCAGAACCCTTTTTGGTGGGTTTTCAAGATTTTCATCATTCAAGCTTTACCGAGTGTTTGAAAATGAAAATACTGGATAACTGCAGCCCTAATTGAGGATCTAGTGAGAGTAAACAAACAGAAGTTGGGCATCCTAAGCCCTGCAGACCCTGACAAGAATTAACACACTGGGACTGCAATGATGAGGGGATGTTCATCATTTATGTACATATATATGAATCATATAAAACAGCAACACAAAACAAAGTGAACTGACAAAAATAATGATTTTTTATTTGCTATTGTGCTAAATTTATAACAGGCAACCAAATGGATTCTCAACAGCAGCACAAATAACGGCATTCTGGTTGTTTCGACTTTGCCGTCGGGACAGTGGTTTGAGACGACTATGCCAACAGGAGGAGCAACAAAGTCAGAAGAAAACGATGCCTATCTGGTTATCTACTCAGATGATGGTCGCAGAGGCTCAGGTGAAGGTCTTATACCTGTTTGTGGTAACACAGGTGGAAGTTGGTGATAGATTATGCTGCCTTTACTAAAATCAACACAGCCTTTATAAGCTAGTATACAGGTTATGCTGTCGCTTTTATGTAGTGCTGTCCGCAGCCAAAGCTTGTTCAGTATTTTAATTGCATGGACCTTATAGAACTTTATATGTCTATTAACACTCAGGTCAGAAAAGTGGGTCACCCTTGGATTTGGTCTTCGAGCCCAAACTCTCTCGGCAGACTGCAGGGCGTATACGTAGGAGCACAGCCCGATCGACGCCTGACCACGAGCAGTTTGTAACATGTCAGAGAGCGCCTCTCTACGTGGACTTTGCGAAGATCGGCTGGTCTGGCTGGATAATATCACCTAAAGGCTACAACGCCTACCACTGTGTGGGATCCTGTCCGTTTCCTCTGGGTGGAAGTTTGCCAGCAACTAACCACGCCATCGTCCAGTCCATAGTGGATGCATTAAAACTGTCAAATAAGGTTGAACAACCATGCTGTGTGCCTGACATACTTCACCCAATAAGCCTGTTGTACTTTGACGATGAGGAAAATGTTGTGCTCAAACAGTACGATGACATGGTGGCAGGTAGCTGTGGTTGCCACTAAACTGTCACCTGTTAAATATCATTTTTTTGCCCATACTGTATCCAAACTGTCTGCTGACATTGATTAATTTTTGAATAAAGACATTTATTGCAACAAAAAACATTACAAGTGTGGTCACTGGCAAGACTAAGTGGCATAATGATTTTTGGGAATTTTTGGTTTATTTTTTATTTAATAAAATCATCAGTTGTTTATACAAACTCTCAAACTATGGTAGAAATACTATTATTTCATTATTAAGCTTTGGTCAGGGTTACGATCTTGAAATGCCAGATAGAAAACTGTTCAATTAGGATTGTTTTCTCTCTGGCATCTAGGTAGATACAGCCAAGTGAGCTCTCTCATCGGTAAGAAGGCCTTACAGGTTAGATTAACTACCAACACTGGGCCTCATTCACCAATATCGTTCTGTTCTTAAACCACAGAACTGTTCTCACCTTTGTGCTTCTGAGTGTGTGTAGATTCTGTTTTTACCTAAGAACAAATCCCAGATAAGAAAATATTGGTGAATGTCAGAATCTTAGTGAAAACCATGTAAGTGGGTTTTAAGAAGAACTTCCTTCTTAAGAATGGTTGGCGAATAGAGGAACCAACCAGTCAGGTTTTAATTTACAATGAGGTCCCATTTCATGAGAAAAACATCACTCTAGGCTTTGGAACCTCTAGATACTTTTCTTACTGTGAATATGAGTCAGAGCCCAACCAGGTTTCAGTAGTTTTCTGAAAGAATCAGTGTAAAAGTGTTGCATACAAGGTCAAATGTATGTTAATTGTCTACAACAAGCTATAAATAAAACATATGGAATGTTTTTTAACAAACTTCAAACATCCATGTTTAATTCAGAGTGGATAAAATATGTATGCACCAGTGTTTGCTTAGCGCTAACATACTATTAGAAATCCTATGGGGTGCTAGCACAAATTAGCATTATTAGAGAAGTGGGTTTTTGATATTTATAGTCAGAACTGAAGGCCTATCTCTAATACTCATGGTTCACCACTGCATAAGAGAAGAGTTCACTAGTACTTCCCAGGGTGCATATTGTGCATATCGAAAACCTCGTATCTCCAAAATGATAACTTTACAGGAAAAGAAAAAAACCTACTTTACTTTTTATGTAAGTCAATGGAACCAGAGTTTTATCAAAGTCATTTTGGGTCATTTCTTTTGGTCGATTCATCATGAAATTTACACAGAATGTAAAGAGTAACAGATGTTTTCAAATTATGTCAAAAACTGAAAAACGTCAAAAATGGAGATGCGAGGTTTTCTTACGACAACAGCGATATGTACTTATAGGCAGAGTGCAGTTAGTCAATGTTCAAAGTTCCTCAGTAATTATCAAATAATTATATACTAAACAAAACAGCTTGAGGAAAAAATATACACAGTGCATTGTACATCTAAGTGGGATCAGCATGGTTATGGCACCACTTAACACAGTCTGTATTCATTGAGAGGTTTTTATTGGAATGGTTTACATTGTATGAAGCCAACAACTCCTTTACTCTATCATTCATTCCAAAATACACCCCAAAAAACAGCATTTATGGCCATTGTAATATGCCGTTTAAGACATACAAAGCAACTATTTTTCATGTCTTTCTTCAGTGCATCCTTTTATCTGCAAAAGTACTTAAAATACAACCTGTATCAAAATGACCTGGCAAAGCACTATTGTCAAACATTCTTACGATTGCACAGTAGCCCAGTCTAAACCTCACGATATCATTACAAAACAGTCAGTGCCTCAGGCAGTGAGGAAACTAGTGTTACCTTAATTTGATGAGAATGAAACATTTACAAATTCTTTACTGTTCATTAGATACTTACACATGAAGTATAAACATTTACTCCATCTCATACCAGCATGCCACTGCTTGTGAAAACACTTTTTAAAAACTATGTTCATCAGAAAAGAAAGTCTAAATGCCTGAATTCAGACACACCAACTTCAAGACCATTCATTGGTCTATAATGTCTTTTTCTTCATCTGTTTTCAACTAACACCATCAATTCCATCCTCTGCTAAGTGCTTTTGTGATACATGTGCAGGCTCAAGGTAGGGCCGCCCAGCTGCTTTGTATCTCTGATAAATGTCCTCATGCCTTTCAGTTTCACTGGATTCAAAAGCCTCCGAGTTGTCAGGGGTAACAATGGAGCCTAATTTGACTGTGGATTTCTGTGCTGGTAAGGATGAGACAGACACTGGAACAAAGCCATGATATAACACAAGCGATGGTGCATTCACAACTTCCATGGACTGTGCCTTCGGTACCGAGCCTTCTGGAGACTGAACTGGCAGCTGGACGTAACTTCCTGTCTCTGGATCGAAGAAGGTTTTTGTCTTGACTTGCACCGGCATGTCCACAACAAAATACTGTCCTGAATCTGGATCTTGCAAAAGCTTCCGTTGGGTCATTGGGAAAGACTGTGCTACAATGTTGGTAGAAGGATACGCATGTTCAGCGCTGTTTTGACGCAAAGGTGCTCTCTTTGAAGGGTGGACATTCTTTGAAGGTTCAGCGTTCATTTTGGAGACAGGGCTAAGTTCAAGTTTATCATTCAGGAATCTATCCAAACTTTGAGCCCGACGATCCAACTTATGAGGCAGACATTTGACACCTGTACGACCCGGTCTTTCAAAATCGGCATCTACATTCCGTTGGACATCAAGCTGACCTTTGTGTTTGGATTCCTCTCCAGTTTGCTCTCCATTGATGCAGTTTTTTGCATCTTGGTTCCTGAATTGATTGCCATGTTGTCTCCTACTAGCATCTTTCTCCTTGCTGTGGCTCTCTTGTCTGGTGTGCCTTTCACTTCGGTGAGCCTTGGACAGAAGTTTGTCGTTGATGTTTTCTCCAGCGCTTTGGTCAATGCTGTGCACTTTGTGGTCTGATCTGCCGTCACTGCTGTGATGTCTCCTCTCAGGTTTGTGATTAGCACTTCTCTCACTGCTCCGGCCTTTGCGCTCTGGTTTGCTTTTGGAATCTGCTTTCTGGATCCTCCTTGTGGTCAGCTTCATGGCACGACGCAAGGCTTTCTCTGTTTTCGGAGGGACAGCAGGAGGTTTGCTCTGAGATTGATTATCAGTGCCACTGTAGATGGATTCTGATCCGTCTACAGTGGCACTGATAGAACCCTCTGTGTCTTCTGCAGGTGCGGTGCTGGATATAGTCTCTTCCACGGTATCTCCTGTGCTTGTTCCACAGCTCTCTATCCCTTCGGAAACAGAGCTCACGGCAGATCGCTTCTCATCCTCATCAGGCACTGTGAGACTGTCCATCTCCTTCCTGTCTGTGGTGAATTGAGAGATTGGAAGGAGTAATGGATGCATTGACAACTGGTTGGGCTGGGGGCTTCTGGCAGGTGTCGAAGGTGGAGTTGGAGAAAGTATGGTTGGACTTTGCACTTCTACACAGTCCTTGAAGACATCCTCACCCTTTTCAGACCCACTTAAGCTTCCCCTTGGAGACCATGGTTGGCAGATTTCAGAGACAGTTTTGTGCAGGACAGGTCTTACAGTTTTGGTAACAGGGGATGCACTAAATTTGTTGTCTTTCACTTTGAATAAAGAAGGCTTCCCCATTGTTGGAGAAGATGGATTGGACTGGCATGCCGGTGATAGATTTCTAGCTGATTCTTTTAAAGAGTGCACCCACCCTCCTTTTGCCACATCACTTGGAGGTGAAACCACCCTGTCAGAAATACACGGTTCACTCATTTGCCCTGGGTTCTCTTCAAATTTGCTTGCTTGACTTGTCAAATCATCTTTCTGCTGAGATAGGGACTCTTCTGTTTTGTGTAAAAAGGAGGATTCCTTTGAAGAATTAGAAAATTTGTTGCCTTGGTCTAATTCTTTAACATCTACCGGTGATTCAGGTTGGTTAAGAATATCATAAACTATGATGCTGTCCAACATAGCAGTACCATGTTTCAGTGATTCTGAGGTTTCTGGTGTCTTTGTGGGGACTTCTTTTTGAGATTCACTGTCAGGTTTTATCTTTTTTGCATCTGACTTTCCAATAGGGCCACCTGAAAGCTCTTTGACAGAGCTTGTACTGTGATCTTTGGATTGGTTTTGATTGGCATCTGGTTCCCGTGAAACCTCCAAAGCAAATCCACTTTCCTTTTTATTCACATCCTCTTTCTCCATTGTCATGTCACTTCTGAAAGTTTCAAAATCTTGAGCATAATCACACTTTCTATCTGTCTTTTTGTCTGTCCTCTCTGGTAGTTTTGAATTTTTGTCAGATTCCTTTTCTAAATTTGTCCATGTTCCTTCAAGATTATGTCTTGTTGATGCATTTTCAAATGCACTCTCTGAAACATCCGATCCCGTTTGTTTTACTTTATTCCTTTTAGGGTCATCCTTGGGACCCTCTGCTTCAGTCAAACCATCCTGAACATTTATGCTTTGCACTCCTTTTTCTACATCAAATCTTTTCTTAAGGGCTGACACGTGCCCTTTTATGGGTCCTCTATCCTTTGGTAAATTCACTTTCACCTTATCCTCACTGCTTATTGATTCCTCGTGTTTAACTGATTTGTCAGCTTCCTTTCTTTCCGTTTCACATACTAAACCTTCCTCACTTTGCGAGTTTGCTCTCCCTCTTCTAGGAGGAACCTCTGGTCTGGAAGAGGTGCTCTTTTTCTGAACAGCCGACTCCTCACCTTGCCTAGTGTTACTGTCAGTAATAGAAACTCTTGTACTCTCTTTCACAGGGCTTATATTTTTAGGCTTAAGCTCTTTTTTATTATGTTCAGTTACCTTATCCAGTGGCTTGACATTATCAGTCTCACTTTGTCGTCTATGTCTGCCAGATCTGTCTCTCTCAGTATATTTTATCTGTCCAGCTGCATGCTGGCGGTACTCGGCAGCACCTTCCTGCTTACAGGGCCCGGCTAAATTTACCTCAGCCACATGACTTTCACCATGTTTGGTATCCCTTTCTGGCATTCTTTGAACGATTTGGCTTCTAGGTTTAAAATCAGAAATGCCCTTATGACCTCCTCTCCTGTCTCCTGTAGCACTTTCTAACATGTCCTTCTGACTTGCTGCTGACATGTTCACCTGCTTGTAGTCTTCCTGCATGATTAAAGCTTGTTGCCCCTTAACATCACCTCTACTGGTGGACAAAATGTTTTGACTTTGCTGTTTTCTATGTTCTCGCTCAGCAATCACTTCCTCCAATGCAACTTTTGCTAGCTCATACTTATCCATTACAATACTCTCTTTCTTCTGCGCTACAGCCGTCTTGGTGAGCATTTGTTCCTTTGTAGCAAACAGAGCTCTTTTCGCAGACGTGTTTCCCTTCATAGACTGAGCATCATTTTTGGCCACTCTTTGTTCACGGTAAGTAGCCACAACATTTGTATAGTCTTTTATGCTGAAATTATCATTTTTAGCACTTTCACCTAAGCCTGAATCTGGTTTTCCATCAACTATTTCTTTAGCTTTATGCACACCTACGTTCTTTTTACTTTTCCGTTCTTCCCTCACATTTGAACTTCCTGAGTTCCTTACGAGTACGTCGCCATTATTTTCCTTTGCTACTGTGGTAGCTACGCCCCTCTCCACCATAATCATCTTCCTCCACATCATCTGCGCTCACATATCTCTGGTTTTTTGATATAGTTGTTCTGTCTTGCAGAAAACAAATGTTTATGTTTTGGCTCCTTTCTAAGACATTCCTGATCTTTGACAGGTTTTTGTTCTACCTTTCTGAGTTCTCCTATGTCCTTTTTGTCCTGATTTCTGCTAACCAAATGTGTCAGTGCATCTGATCGTGTGTTGTGCTTTCTTACAACTGCAAGGGGATATTTTTCCTTTACAGCGTTCTCAGTCTGTACTTCTCCTGCAGTTCTTTTAGTCTTGGCATAGTTCATATGGGTGCTTTCACTCGTATTGTCAGCAGGGTTGTTCCGATGTGTTGCTGGTTTAATCATGCTAGGTTTTCTTTGCAGTTCTTTACCATCCTTTTCAGGTGAATGTCCTTGTTTAGTGTTTTTATCTGTGACAGGATGAGAATCAGGAACACTCATGGTTTTAATGTCAGGACTAGCTTTCCGGTACATATTTAAAGATGGGTATGTGGGTTTGTTAGCTGCAGAGCTCTTTGACTTCAGAGGTTTAATAGGAGAGCCAGCTTGCAGTAGACTTAGTGCCAAGAAGTCATCTGGCAAAACCCCATTTATATGTCCACTCTGAGAGTTTGGTTGGTCTGCACTCTCTGGAAGAAGACGCACTGATGATGCATGGACTTTCTGGTGAACAGGCGATGGGATTTTAGCTTCAGGAATCTCTGGAACCTCCTGAGCACTTTTGGTGATGACCTGTTCAATCAGCGGAGACAGTTTGCTTTGGTCTGCTGAATCTAAACCTTTGAACCTCGGAGGACTGTACATCGCCTTGACCCGTTTTCTGTTGTCCTTGAGATTGAACAGCAGACTTGATGCCATGGATTTGTAGCCTTCCCGTTTGATCTCAGGTGAAGGGCGCATCTCTGTTTCAGGCAGCGGTGGTAAATCAAGGGTAGATGGTGAGAAAACACCTTGAAGGACCTCTGAGTTTCCTGTCCCCTGCCTGGAGGGTATGACCGGAGTTAGCAGGTGTAAAATGCTAAACGGAGTTGAACTTGAGGAGGCTTGTTCTTCCATTGTCCTGACCTCCTTCTTGTTCGGTAGTACACCTTCATCTTCAGCTTTTGTCTGTTCACAGACAAGTGAGCTCATAAGGGGCTGACCAATAGGGACTGCACTTTTTGCCCTGTTACGGTTCTTCCTCCAGGGGGCACAATGGTCCCCTTCAGACTGACACCTCTGCTCAGATCCAGAAGATGGCAGCAAAACTTGAGGCTGAGTCTTAGTGTGGATTTCTGCTTTCAAAGGCACTGTTGGCAAAGTCTGTGCCGGTTGTTGTGATACCTCGGGTTCAGGGTTATCTTGAACAGCTGGAAGTGACGTGTTTTGGCACATCTCCTCCTTGTTTTTCTCTGGAACATGTGATCTGTGTGACATGGTTAGTTTTTTGTAAATTGGGGAATCATACCATTCAGGTGGGCCATTGCTTTGGAAAATTTCCATGTTCTCCAATCCAAAAGGAAACTTATTTAGGTCCCTCCAGGACTGGAATGGGCTGAATTCGCTGTGGAGAAAGAAGTTTTTGGAATTCAGTTTTTTTAGTTTGCTGGATTTGCTGTGTTTGCCTTTGGTTGATTTCCCTGATTGAGTAGCTGTGTCCTTGCTTGATTTGTTGCTCTTCTCTGAGGGGTTTAGATGATTCTTGACCTGGGAAATCTGAAAATCTGATGAAAAGTCTGACAGTTCTCTTTGAATGCTAAGCAGTGCCGATTTGTCCCACGAGTCCCCATTTATTGTCTTGGTGGTGTCTCCATTTTTCTTAGCCATGAATGCTGCGAATAGTGATGTACTTTTATTAACACCATTGAGAGGGTGAGCTCCATGCTTCTTGACAGCCAAAGAAGAGTTCTCTTGAGTCTTTTTTGGCACTTCTTCAGCAAGCGGCTTGTGGCAGCTCACTGGTGATGGTGAGAACTCTGAGTCATTGTAGATGGCCTCATCGCCGATGCATAGGCTCTTAAAGGCGCGGTCTGTGAGGTTCATGACCTCTCGATCCGTCTCATCCATAAAGCTATCCAGGTAGCCAAGGTGCTGCATGTTTGCTTTATGGCTCACATGTCGTTTCTCTAGGCAGTTCATGATGAATATGTAGTCCTGTTCTTCAGGCTGAAGCTGGAAACATCTCAGGCTGCCATGACCAGAATTTTCACTACCACGATTCTCCTACAAAAAAGACAAAGATATATTTGAGTAACTTGCTCAAGTAAGCTTTCTTTTCAGAACTTCTAACCTTCTTTTAAGGTATGTGGGTAGCTGTCGTGGATAAGTACAGTGCAGAGAAATACGGCATGCCAAACATAAGCTATTTTTAGAGGAGGGCGGATGCCTTTCTGCTTTTCCCAACACACAAGCCATGTGCACCAGTCATGACTACAAGGATGAAGATAAGCACACGCAATTTCAATCCCTGGGCTTGACCGAAATAGCTCAAGGTTTACATGGTGCAGAGGCAAAAATCTCATCCTTCACTCCTGTGGTCTGAAATAGGCATCATTTCTTGACGCTAGATGTCAGTGTTGGAAAATATGTATATAGTTTTCTATGTTGTGTGCACCACTGCCTCTGAAAACTGCCCACAAATGATATAAATCCTCTCTGAATATCTATGCTGTGTTAAACAAGATATAAACTAAGAGAGGCATGACAAACCCACACAGATCTTTCCATGGCTACTGAGTTTATGGCCTACTAAACCAAACTGTCTTCATAACTTATTAACCCATATTCATCCTCTAACTTGAACCACAACTTCCACAGAAAATATACAGCTCTCCAATGTGCAGGACCTGGCTTTGAGCTGGTATTTTGTATGTTAGATATCTTGACAGAACTCCAGTGCTGACCAAGGACAAATCCCTAGAGAAATGTATGAACCATGAGCCATAAGCAAGTAGCCAAGGTGATTTGGACACCACCACTTTTTCCAGTGCTCATAATTTCATATCAACTTGCCGTCTGGATGATATCCCTCCATCTGTTATTTAAATGTAACTAAGAACTACAGTATGGTGATAAGTCCTGCAAACCCTCAAGAAAAGCCTACATCTATTCAAAATATTTTTCAAAGGTCTTTCAAGACTTTACAAGAGAAGGAAAAAAATACTTAAGTCTCGTGGAAGACAATGGAAAAATATTTTATTCTAGGTAATTTTGGACAATTTCTGGTAGCCTGTTCATTATGGAATTGTCACAGAATGCAAAACCCACATTTTAGAAGATTAGACGTATTAAGCCTCGTCCTGGACTGCATACCATTTTGGTTTGGTTTGGTTTTGAAACTATATTTAGTCATACCATATTTAGTTTAACCATATTTATAGAGTTTTTTGAGTCATGTACTTACAGACCATGGGCAGAGATCAAGCCTAGCCCTGGACTACACACCATTGTGATTAGAGATTCTCCATTCAAAGGAAAGTGTTGTCCAGGGCTAGGCTTAATCCCATTTTTGCCCCATTATCATTAAATCCAGTTCACGACTATATACCAACTACAGTTCTTATCTAGTGTCTAATCAAAGGCCTCAAATCAAAGTACTATGTTGCTAGGAGAACTATAAACATAGGTACTGACAACTGCTCAATGTGTTCAATCAGGTGGTCATTATATATTAAAGATAAGTGTGTCTGATTTACCTTTTACATCTTGGTTCTTCATATTCCACCCTGCAACAAGTCCATTGATGGTTTACACAGAAATCCTCACAGTTGCTCTCCCAGAAGCCCCCTGCTGGAGACACTGTTTTGAGTTAGCACTGACCAATAAACCACACAGGATCTCGAATCTTTCAGATTGAAGGTTAAGGTAAAAATCCAGGTACGAAAGAGAGCGGACAAAAACGCAGCCTACCGGAACAGATGCAGGAGCCCAAACACAGTAGTAGCATGGGCAGGGGCTGGAGAGCGCAGTTGGTGTCCGGTGGCAGGCAGATGAAATGGAAACGGTCATCTGCTATTTTGGTTTTTGGGCGCATAAGCGCTATTACTGTCCGCTTATTACCACCCGGCCCCCAAAAGAGACGACAACAGCTATTCGCTCAGAGCCAGAGCCGGTTGCCTGTTTTCCCTGTTGGACACTGGGGCTGTTTTGGTGTAGGTGGCTGGGCGAGTGACTCATTTGTCTCTTGCAAACAGGCGAGTCAAATATAGCCCCTTGCATCATCCCAACAAGTGTCACACAACTTTAAGTGAGGAATGAGAGGCAAATGGAATCTGATTACCATGAGAGGCTAGGCCTGGTTAGCACTCACACTAGCCATGCTTGTTAGTATAAACCTCTCTGGCTGGAACCTACTTGGTTCTTATGAATGGAGTTCTGCTTTTCAGGTTTTTCCCTACTCCTGTCAATGGCCTGTTAGTGAATAAGCCCCTCAGCTGTGAGTATTTATATTCATCTTCATTTTTCTTTAATTTATATTTTAACTCTCTCCAACTGTGCAGCTGATTCCAGCCGTCAGACTTTGCCCTACTTGCTCTAACTCTACTGTACCATGCCATGTTATTTATGCTGCTCTATTTCCAGCGTCATGTATTTCTTACAGTAATGGCTCTGCTCTTCTTTCTGTCACACCTTTCGTATGTCAGCAAATCTATCGCAGGGCAAAGCTCGGATGCTCAAAATGAGCACAGAAAGGCCTCTCTGCTGATCTGGCAAGTATAAATGTGGTCTTAAAAGTAAAGGTGCCAAAAAAAGGGTTCTTAAGGACCTACACTGATACCACACACTGAAAAGGTGCCAAAAAAGCCTATTTAAGGCTTCCTAGTTTGTCTTTTTCTTTTGGACTTTGGACTAATTGAAAAACTATGCATGGTTAGTTATGGTTCAGTCCATTTGAATTGTTTGGTCTTCTCAGATTATTCAGTTAGTCATCAAGATATTTAATACTGCTGATGTAATCGATAAGGACAGCCATAAAATCTTGAGAATGAACACATGAAAATGGTTCCTTACCTGACGGCATAGCAGAACCACTTTTGGTTTTCCTAAAAACTTTAATGAGAACCTTTTTGAAGCTTGAAAAAAGTCCCAAAGTGGAATAGGATGTTTTTGCATCATCTGAAGGTTTTTTTAAGGTTTTTTTACCCTCACAAATATCTTGTGAATATAGTTTTAAGCATATTTTGAGCCATATTTGCAAGAGATTTGTGAGAACCTTGAAGAACCTTCACATAATGCAAAAATGTCCAATTCCGAATTTTAAACCTTAAAAATGGTTCTCACTGACGTTTTTAGGAAACTAAAAGTGGTTTTGCTACACTCTTAAAAATGATGGGTTTTAAGGGAACTTTAGTAAAGAAAATGGTTCTAGATTCAACCATGAACACTCAAAGAACCCTTTGCATGATTAAAGAGTTCTTTACCTTGTGAAATAGTTCTTCAGATTGATGTAGAATGTGTTGTATACAGTTCTATATAGCACCAAAAAGGGTTCTGCTATTGTTATGATGTCAACCTTGTAGCCTTTTTTTGCAATATAGAATCCTTTTCAGAAAAGTTCTATAAAGAACCATATACAGCACATTCTCCATCAAACTGAAGAACCCTTTCACCATGCAAGAACTCTTTAATCAAGGGTTCTTTAAGTGTTTATGGTTTTATATATATAACCATTGTCTTTACTAAAGAACCCTTGAAGAACCAGCTTCAGGTAAGGAACCATGTATATGTATGGAGTGTCAGCTATCAATTACATTAGTAGTATTAAATATTTTGAGAACTTTGCTGAACACAAGAGCAAAACTAGGCTGCTGGAGCTGAAAGTATCCACTGATTCTCAGCAAAAGATTTGACCTATAGAAAGACGATATAATGATATGGATCCCACAGAAATGCAGTGAAATAGTGCGAGTCCCTCCAGGCTATTCCTGCACTTATCTCACTATCACTATATCTTCCACTGGGGAAAGTCCCCGTATAACATGTAGAGCGTAGCGCTCCCTCTTCGGCTGCGTCAGCAGGGAGAATATGGGACGGAACTAGAGAGCTTTTACTGTCTGCTAGCGCTCACCTCCCAGTCAGGAAGGTCAGGGGTGTAGGCAGATGGCCCTCCACCCTTAGCAACCGAGTCTGACCGTTTCCAAAAGGCTCTTGTGTCAAGTCCCCACAGCGTCTTATTCCAACAAGCAGGCAAGGCTATAATAGGACAACTGGAGCACCACAGCAAATTCCCCCCTGGAGCTCTGGGTGGTAGCAGAGATGTGCATGGTGCATTTGAGATGATGGACGTCCACACATGCGCAGCTGAAGGGGCATGCCATCATTCGCAGCCACTGGAGACTGGAGAATGGCTGACTGGTTGCTGGCAAGCATGTACTGGCATGTCTGACCCATTGGCCCGAGCGGTGCCCGCAGAGAACCCTGAATGCTGGGGGCCCTGGGCTCAGCCGTTCACTTTCCACTGTTTATTGATTACCACATCAGGGTTATGGTTTCTTAGTAACCCAGTAACTACGCAAGAGCAAATCAGGAACAGTGACCACTTGAAAAGAATCATGGAAAGGGATCATTTGGTCCTGCAGTAGCTAACAACAGATTATAGTAGTGATCATGAAAAGATCAAAGCCTTGCATTTCCATTTTTGTCATTTAACATAATTTGAAAATGCCAGCTGCCACTTACATTGTGTCAAAATTTCATGATGAATGGACCTATAGAAATAGTCCAAAATGACTTAGAATAAAACAAAACTGCATAAACTTTGACTGAAATTTAAAAACTTTTTTTTTCATTTTACTGTAAAGGATTTGTTCCAACTGTGACAGTGCAAATTAAGACAACAATTTATCAAATCAAATCCATTTAAATCACATATACTGTCACATCACATTAACACAGGTGTGAAGGTGAGGCATAGCCCTCTTATATATATATATATATAAATGTAAATGTGTACAACTGAACATACATTAGTGAGTCTGAGGTAGATAAATGAGAAGCAGGGTATAGTATAAGGGGATAGAATATTATATACATTATAATGTATGTAATGTATAATTTATATAGTTTATACAATTAAATTAAATTGTTAGGCTATATACATAAGAAACGCTAAAAGAAATAAGAAAATACCAAAACTTTGCATCTACATTTTCATTTTTTTACATAATTTAAAATTGCCAGCTGCCTCTTTTATGGTGTCAGAGTTTTATGATGAATGGAAACAGTCAAAAGTAATTTAAATAAAATTTTGTTGCATTAAAATTGCATTAAAGTTTTTTAGTAACTTTTTTGGGAGATTTTGTTCTAAAGCAACAATGTATTCATAGTGCAAATCACGACAACAATGTATCACACTTAAATAAATTGTTAGGCTACTTACATAGGAACTTCATAACACATGCATAAGCTTTGAATACAGCAACACTGTACTATTTTAAACAATATTTATGAACAGCTAATTCCAAATCTTCCATAGAACTGATATATGATGCTCTTAGCTAGGCCTCTATACTATAAGTGCTATAACATGGGAAGTGATGCATCATAACAGTGTTATAAATGGAGCACTTTATAAAATATATCATAAAACATCTTGCAAATACTGGCACATACTGTTCATGGATATTCAGTAAATATATTGTTCAGTGCTTATGCATGTGTTATGAAGTCCCTATGTATGCAGCCTTCAAATGTTTTTACCAACAAAGGTTATGCTGGATTTTAAATGAGTAATGAACATGAATTCACTCAATATTTGAGACTGAACATTTAACTACTGAACATTTATCATTTAACTACTGAATATTTATCACAGTAACAACCTGGAACAGTCACATACTTCAAGATTGGCCAATGATTCCTTCTTATCCCGTTGTGTGTTAGGAGCCATAATTAGTTGAACTTGAACTGCTTAATAAATCAGTGATTTGCCCTTGCGTACTTACTGGCTCTTTCTAAGTCTTAAACTACATGAGGCTAAAAAGAGATTCTAGCCAGATAAATCTGATACACTAATTCACCTCCAAGGTGAACTAAGGACACGGTTACTGGGCACTTAAGCATGTCTGGCACTATGCTTGTGAATATGTGCTTCAAAGGACCTGTATCATGTTCTGTATGCTGTTCCATATGATATTTTTATAAAATAAAAACAAAATAACAGTGCATTATTCTACTTTTAAATAAAAAACCTTTTTTATGCATCAAAGATCTTGTCAGATTTGTTGACATGGCACGACCCCACTTTTCTTTTTCTGATACCAATACTGAAAACTATTTGCCAACTAATCTTTAAAAGCCTCACTGTGTTCATGTTAACACTGGCTACTGTTATCCTGTGATTATTGTTATTACATGATCTGCTTTGCTTGTGGCACTATGAGCAGTTCTGTGAGATTATCAGGCTAGATTTATTACACAAACGGATTGAATTCATTTCTTATCTCCCCCTGATATCCCAGAAGGGAACGCTCTGGGCCTTCTAGGCCTTCAGAGAAGGTTTAAAATGTCTGGAAACTAGAAAATTTGTTAACTGTTTTTAGTTCTTTTTTTATTCAATAGAATCCACCCTGCTTGTACTTAAACTGCAGTATTATATTATTTCTCACGTGTCATTATTATGGAAACAAAAGGGTTAAATTCTTGAAATTCAGCCAAAAACTGGCCAATCAGGAACTTTCTCTGGGGTATTTACATAGATGTATCTGAGTGAGCTGTCCTATTGGTTAGGGCTTTAGGAGCTGTAGAGAAGTCCTAACTCTTTAGATTAAACACCAGCATAATTAGGAAGTGACACATTTTCCAATGGGCAGGATAGATTATGTGTAAGGAAATGTCACTCTAGGCTTTCTGGAAGTTCTAGATACATCACAGAACAGGAGAGGCATCCTGATCAGTGGGTTGGTAGAAACTGAAAACAGTGGCGGACACTCTGAAAGGGTCACTGTGAAACTGCTACACGGTTAAATATATTATAATATAAAATGTCTCTCATAAGCTTTAAGTAAAACATGGAATGTCTTTTAGAA